ATTCCCACTTAACAAAATGGGTATAGGCGGCACAATCGCATACACAAAGCTACTCCGGTTTCACCGGACGACTCTACACAAAACCACAACGATCATATGTTCATCACTGAGAAAGTTGGGGGGTTAGGAGGGAGACGTGAGAACAAGGAGAGGAGCTGACATAGCCAAAGATTATCACTAGTTGGTCGTTGCCAACATAAAACTGAAGCCAATGAAGCGATGGACAACTGGGGAAACAGCCGTACATAAGTTGAATATAGCCTTCCTCACAAACCCAATCAATTCGACGTAGCTTCCAGCAACAGGTTACAAGCCTTACAGAATCTACTGAAAGAACAAGAAACAACAGTGAAGAACAATTGGAAAGGGATCACAGAAGCACTAACTTTAACATGTAAAGAGGTTCTGAGCCGCAACAAGCAAGATTAATGATTCAATACACGAAGAGCTAGAGGACAGCAGTTAACGACAGCCGATCAATAACAGAGAAAGTGAAGGCACAAGCTGGATACACAGTGACGAACAAGCAAGTGAGTAGGATCATTAGAGCCGACAAGCAGGAATATGTGGAAGACCTAGCATCAACAGCAGAAAAGGTACAACGGAAGGAAATATGAAAGAGCTGTAAGACACGACGAAGAAACTGGCAAGGAAATATAATAAACCAGGGAGAAAGATGAAGGCGAAACAAGGCTGAACAATCACCGGGATTCAAGGTTAGATGAATAGAGCAGAGTCCACAGACCTTCCCATAGATGTTATTCCACTAACGCTTTAAAAAATCGGGATGACTATAAAAAAAACCAAGCATGAGAAACAACTAGACCTGACAATATTCCAACCGAAGCACTCAAGACACAAAAAGAAACAATTGCAAACATCGGCAACGTTCTATTCAGGAAGATTTTGTAGAAAGAACAAGTGTCGACAGATTGGAAATAATGATATCTCATCAAGATACCAAAGGAAAGAGATCTGAGCAAATGTAAACACTGCAGAGGCATCACACCAATAGGAAAGGTCTTCAACACAATTTTGTCGAACCGGATGAAAGATTCGGTAGACGCCCAACTCCGAAATCAACCGGCTGGATTTCGTAAGGATCGTTCGTGCACAGATCAAATTGTGACACTACAAACCATTGTTGAACACTCAATTGAATAGAATTCGTCACTGCACATCAAAGTTCTTGACAATATAGTTAGGAGAATATTCTCCGATATTATGGAGTGGAAAGCTGGGAAGATCGTCAATATGATACGGCATTCATACGATGGACTACTATGCAATGTCGTGCATGGAAACCATCTGACAGATACATTTCAAGTGAAGACCAGAGCCAGAAAAGACTGCTTACTCCCTAACTACCTGAGAATCAGCATCGATGAACAAAGAAGCTCCGATGCTGAAGTAATATCAAGGATTGGTAAAGTGATGGCCGCATTAATACAATCGAAGAACATATGTGACTCAGAACAGCCAATATCAAAGTCATAATCTTCAATGCGAACGTCAAAACTGTCCGGAGCAGAAACATGGAGAACTACTACAACCATCATCAAAAAAGTAAACGTACTTCTAAACAATATTCTGCGTAAAATACTCAATGACCGTTGACAAGATACAATCAGCAACAACCTACTGTGGTAGAGAACAAACCAGCTACCAGATGAAGAAGAAATTAGGAAAAGACGATGGAAGTTGACAGAACACACATTGGGGAAATCATGTGGAAGCGCTCATATGGAATCGTGAAGAAAAATGGAAAAGTGGAGGGTCAAAGAACACAGAGTCGAGAATCGGAAGACATGTTGAGTGTCTGAGTGAGTTAATACTTGGTGCTAATAAATCCGCAAACGGATGACACCATTAGAAACATAAAGACGATATATAAAGATTCCCTTGGCATTAAAAGTGAATCAATATGATATGTGAATACAATAAATTTTAAATGATTTATTTGAATTTGGATTGACGGTGAGATTCGCTCAAACTGAACTGAGAATAACTTCATATTAATTAATGAATAGTTCACTGTGTATACACGTGTTAACGTTATACAAGAGGCACCAATAACCAACTGACATGAATGACTGAATAGGCTGTATCAATATTTATTCTTAAGGTGTAATCAAGCGTCAAAGATGAATGAAAAAATCCACTTCCATATGTCGTCCACATATGTTACTGATCGCTACACCAGGTCACTTGTATTGGCATAATATATGATAACATGACAAACAGTCCCCAATAAAATTAGTCAATACACTACCAAGTTATGTTGTGTGGTGATTGTTTATCAGAATATTGATTTTTGTCTCCAGCTACAAAGTTTATGGAGTTCAGATTCCTGGTGTTAAAAAAAGGAGAACAAAAAGAACAGCAGAACTAACAAGAGTAATTGACAAAACCTAGTTTCTTGCAATGGGATAGTTTAAATTACATCTATTAGCAGGTACGACTCAGGTTAATTAATAAAGGAACTTCAAACAAACCACAGGAGATAAGAGCAGTGAGTGAAGGATTATAACAGCGGAACAGGCCTTGGTCAACGGAATATGGGTTGAAGGGCAGAGTGAGGTGAATGTTTAAAGTTTGGAAAATTAGTAGAAACGTGGTGCTTGATTTTCCATCTGATAATATTATCAAAGCTTTCGTTTTTCATTGCATTTTTCATTGTTACCGAATATCATCAGTAAGGTCTGCCCTAAATATCTGAGTGTGCATGTGACAAGGCAACTTTGTGAAGTAAAGGAACCTACAAAGGATGAAAAACACATGCCTTAGAAGTGGCAAACATGAAAGAACAACGTCATTATCATTGAAGGGTTACTTCATGCCAGTCATAAGGAGGAGACAAACAAAATGTTCTGCCCAATAAATACGGGTGGATTGAAATCATCATTGTTTACAAGTCAGTGACTACAATTCATCTCCTATTTTTATGTTGGCTCCTTTAAGTTGTCGGTTAGACTGTATTGATATCTCACCTCCAAGCTCTGCGTTCTAGGCTTTCTTAGAAAACCTTAATTATACAGGTACATTGTACGAGGATATCGAACAGTGAAAGCTGTTGGATCGTTCACAGAATATCGAACTAGTGAAGCATATTAAGATAGGACACGGTATGTGCTTCCAAACGAAGTAAGTTAGCGGGAACTAATTAGTAAGTAGAAGAGTTGGGAAATTCAATACTTTTAGGGTAGCGAGTAAGGATTTGAGAATGAATGACCGTATAGTAACGCTTATAGTGGCGATTGAAAACTGGTGGAAAATAAATATGAAAGAACTCGAACTTTTATGATCAACAGTGTTTCTTATGGACTGTGTATTATTTCTCACATGAGTGGTCTCTAGTTTCATTAAGCTGTATGGATTTGTGATGCAAAGTAGGCCTAGAGCTCAATTAGTCCAACGTCATCATTAGTTAAAAGTTATGATGCGGAGACCAAAAGAAAACTTAAGAGATTTGAGCACTTAAAAGTTATGAGAAATGAATACGAAGTATATAGCAAAAACGAAACCAGTAGGGTACATAGTGTGGGAGTAAGAAATAAGGGATGTGAATTACAGAGCTGAATAGAGAATCAAATATCTCTCGTTACCGCTACGGATTGTGAATCGGCTGTCAGGTAATAATATTACAATTTACATATTTATGACAAAGCGGATATATGCCATTTTTACAGGCGTGGTCAAAAACTTACATAGTTTTGCAGAGAAGACACCATTGTAGGTGGATTATTAGGTAGGTAACGATGATAATCAATGGCTGAATATTCATGCAGATAAACCAGCTAACTAGTAGTTAGGTTCGTGAAATAATACCGTACTATGATTTTACAGTTTCCATGATCTGTCTAAAAACGGCACCCCGTCTAGATTGTGACATTGATAAACGCATATCTGATTTCAACTTGGCATCCGCGTGTTGGAACTGTGGTGCTGTCAAGTATTTATGCAATGTCACTGTCTAATAAGTTAACAGTTATTATTAAGTAACTGTTGAAAAGAACCTGGTATAGGCTGCAATCTTGACAAACACACCCGCTAGGTCTACCCCAGGCGTAAAGAAAGGCTTCATACCTATGGATTGCAAACGTTATATTGAAAAAAAGAAAAGCAAAGGATCAGCGAGGCAGAAATTACAGACGACGTTGATGTTGGAATGTACAGCCGAATGTAATAGAATTGGTTTCGTTATTGCAGCTCCTGGAGTAAGGTAACTAAGCCAAACCACAACGAACATACGCGGATTGTAATTAGGTTATGTGCTATGTTCCTCATCGCATCAATTTAAAATAATATTATTGAGGTTCAAAAAGTAACAAAAGCGATTCCATTGGGCTTACAACTTAGATAAATGGGTATGTGGAATAAAACACCAAAACAAAAGACAATATGAAGTTATAGTGAATCAGCATAATGCACTATTTCGTCTTCCTAAATTTTTCCTCTGGAGGCCCCTCAAATAACACCGGGCCATTTACTATTAAGGAGTGAAACTAGCTGCCACGATCCCGGAAAAGTTAAGGAACTTCTAGTCTGTATGTTTAGATTCGAAACTTAATGCTGAGACTAAGTTACAGCAAGCTTTTTCGCAAGATAAATTGTGTCACGGATACTCAGAGCTTGATAACGCCATCGTCCTCAGCATCTTTTTATTCCAGGCTCCAAATCTCAGTCAGACCAGAAGTAAGGAATGAATGAGGTTTGTAGGCATATATAAATAGTGTTCAGAGAGTGGAGAAGTATATTAACTAGTCTAACTGTTGCGGGAGCTGTACAGCTCAGCGTACTAAGACGTGATCAGGTGCAGAGGTTTGACTAAGACTTGTAAAGTTCTTTATTTTAAAGACTGATTTATCGCCACTGGATGTTAAAAAGCTATTTAAGATTCCGTATTAGTCTCTCATCCCGTTAAACAAAAAGAAAATGTTATTGTACCAAACAAATGTTTCTTTATTAGTGAGGTTTGTAGTGACCTTTCAGATGAGTTTTGTTATAATGCATGGGAGCTCAAAGGGAGTGATTTAGCTCAGTTTTCATCCTAGTGTTTTGTTTACGTGGGAGAGGTTTTTTCATGTCCGTTTCACCGTTGAGATCCCTTCTCAGTAACTTTCGAAAGCCTCCGTTAGCTTCTCAGTCATGTATCAGCCATTATCAGCCCATGTTATCATCATTATCTGGCAAGCATAATCAAAATATTTCAGTGACTTCACATGACGAACGTAATAACTCTTGTAACTAACTCACCTATATTATTTATTTTGAGGTAATACCCAAACGTTTAGCTTCAGAGACCCAAAACTGGCCCATGTGGCTAAGTCGAATTCAGAAGTTATTCGTGCATTACTAGTTTTCAAAATATGCTCCTTTCCAACACTTGTTAAGCATAACAAAAAGGTATATTGCTATTCTCACCACATTGCTTAGCTTATGGATATTTCCAGGAAAATATTTGGAAGGTCGTTGTTTCGGTTAATAATGAAGATGACATTCTATGGGCATTTTGTTGCAGGTGAAAATGAAGCCAGTATTCAGCCATTAATTACGCGTCTCAAGAAGTATGGAGTAAAATCAATACTTGACTATAGTGTTGAGAAGGACATACAAGAAGATGAGGCCGTCCAGATAGTGAAGTTAGTCAGGGAAATGATGATTTTAATAATGATATGTCGTGAATTCCGTCTCAGAAGTTTTTGTTTACACTACCTTAAAAATACTAAAGGATCAAAATAATCACAGATTTAAAGTGGATTTGTATTTAAAAACTGGTCTAAAGATTTGTTTGCAAGCCTTCGTATTCACATATTTGTATGCGTTTAGTGTTTCGACCAACTAAGATTTAGTTGCAAATGTTTTCTCTCTTACAATAGAATTCTTCACATTCCGTATGTCGTTTATTTAAGGGTTTAGATAATGCATATTGGTTTGATTGATATTAAAAATATTTCGAATCTGGAACACATATTACAAACGGGCACAAGCTATTGTACGGTTGTTAGCAGAGTACTTGATTTCCTCAGCAATACACTGAAGGTAAGGCCACTAAAGATGCCACAGATATTCAGGGTTTGACTTCGACTTTTCTGTGACATCTTTATGATAGAAGAATACCAACACAGTCAGATTGGAAGTCGGAAGTGAATGAATCCAAAGATTTATTTCAAAGGCTAACAATATGTTCAGAAGCGTTTGATCTAATCTGGTTAGTAGTTGTAAGGGATGCATAACACGCCGTCCCCACTTATGATCTGGTTCGGACGTGTGGCCGAGCGCCTCTAGCTGGGGTGTCCAGTAAAACTATTAAGTCAGCGTCAATGTCATAGACTCGCAGAACTATTTATTTGGGGATTTATTTACCACTATACAACTGTCGATATCGGTTTTCAATATCTACCGTGTATTCATTCTTGTTTCAGGTAGATGACTAATCGTATGCACATAAAGTAGATTTACATTGTTCCCGGTTCCTCAAATTTAGATTTTCACTAAATCTCGCAGTTTCCGTTCAATGATAAGTCGAATTTGTATCTTACAATACAAACTAATAAGCGCTTTTACTAGGTCCCAGGATGGTTTGTGCCTCAAATATTTGCAGTCAGCTAGCTCATTATTATGTAAGCGGAACAGATATCCATAGTCTATTATTGGTAACTATCATTATACTCACTAGTTGATTAAGTTGATCCTTTCATTTTAGAAAAAGCTTAAGTGAAGTGTTACGAACCCCCGAAAAACGACCCGAGGCAGCAACTAAACAGTATCAAATCAGTGTTCGGTTCGCCAATCGTACGAAGCAGGTTGTTGGGGCTCGCTCGTACTTTTATAAGTCTGAATATCAGTGTGACCGTAATATGGAGACATTTATGAAATGTATTGATGTTTCTTCAAAATACGGTGAAGATCGTGGTTTTACTGCAATTAAACTTACAGCGCTCGGACGACCCCAACTTTTGGTAAGAGTATCTTGTCATATTTAACGATTTAGCAACAAATGTCTGACTTTTTAGTTCAAATGAAACGGCTGTTCTTCCTACTTACCAAAGCGGATAACGGACAGAAAGGTGGACTTGCATCTCTTGATCTAGACAATTTTCGTAAAAAACTGGAAGCATTAGGCGTAAAGATTGCATATGACGAAGAAGTTAAGTGGTTTACTTTGTTGGATGTCTCTGGAGATGGGTATGATTCTGAGTTTGTCAATAATTTTTTTAGTGTTTTAGATCTACTTGATTGGAGTCACTTAAAGGCTTTTGAATACGACCTTGCAAGTCTGTTTATTCTAAAAAATAAAAAGGTGAAGTCACTTTTTAATGCCATTTATGATGACTAGAGAATTATAGTAGTAGCTTTATGGTTATTTCTGTCAGCTACGAATCAGTCAGTTTTTTTTAACAAATTGTTATGAAGTTTCCTAGGATTTTTCACTGTTCCATAGTTTTAATTAAGTCTTAGTCACTGTAGTTTAGTAAATAACTGTCAGTGTAAAGGTTAAAGGTCTTATGGTCTATGACTAACCAATTTCAATTAAGCCGAGGTAGAAAGGATAAAGTCTGTGTATGTTTTTAAAAGTACAGAGCAACACCCTCTTATCAGCTAAAAATGCTCTCAGTTTTAGTTACAGTTGAAAAGATCCATCCAGATATTAGTTGTAACTTATCATAAAACCATTGTAGATAATATAATTTTCAAGTATTTATCTTATAAAAGTCTTTCGTTGTTTCGCTCTCATTCTAGACTGGTGAAGTAGAACAGCTTGTACCTACACTTACAACTGAAGGTATTGAGGAAATGCGGAATATGATAAAACGTGTCGATACTTTAGCAAACGTAAGTATTGCTTTCTAAAACTTTCCTTGTCACCATGTAGAGTATAGTATAGCTTCTTACAGATCCCTTACTAATGATTGCTTTTAGGCCTAATTTCGACAAGAACATATTAAATGCGAAAGTGTTACAGTAAGACATGACTTCTTATTTACAAATCTAGAGCAAAGTATCCATTCGCAACTGTCTTTACCCGTATATAGTTTTAGGGTCAAATACTATCAATCGTAGTAATTTTGATCAATATGACGATGAATTATACCGGGCGAGGTTTTTGTTGATAACTTTGTTTCACAGTTTATTTTACGTTTTTTACTGCTACATTTTGGTAATTATCTTCCTGCATGAAATTTTGACCATATTAGTAATAAAGTTCACTTGATGAGTTCACCATACATAACAACTTTGGTCGGACACTTAAACACCGTAGAGGTATGTTACTAGCCTTCACGCTAAAATACTATCGGTTGCAAGAAATTATCATGATTCTCTGAAAGGACCGAAATTTGGAAACACGTTTAGAGATACAACCACTCTGTTCTGACTGTATGAGATGCCATGTTCTGGCAAATTCGGACAATGAGACTCACTTGTCTTAATGATTCTCATCTGATTCGTCAAGGGAACTCAATATATCTTATTATTCCCGACTAACACGAATGTACTTTCTAATACTCTAGGTCGATTAGAGGATCCTCTTATTAGATATTAATCCTAGAAATAATGGAGTTAGCTTCAAACACTTCCATGAGTAATTACACAGCCCTATGAGTTTAAATATAGTGCTTTTATTGTACATATGTGTAAATGATCGTCATTCATTTCCTTGTTAAATATTCTCAAATTGCTTCTCTATCAGAGAGGTCAAGTACCGCTTCCAGGTCAAAGAAGTTTGACAGTATTCAGCTTCGATACATTTGTATTTCTACACCCGATGAGGGGTAGAAATATGATGGATATTGGTCCATATGGCCCTAAAGCCTACTTAGCTCCCACACATTTGCATTTTATGGTCTCCAATTAGACGTAAAATGACTGGACCCTAGGTTTCTAGTGTCTTTGCTACCCAAGCTAATTCCTAAGTGATTATTCCAAAAGGACTTTGATTTCTAGCTAACTAGGATAGTCGACCTTAAAAAACAATTTGATGGTAGCATCTTTGATTTCCTATCCCTACTTAGTTCCTTTTTTAGTTAAACGAATAGTTCCCGTTAGCTGTCCTTGAAGCTCTTAAATTTAAATATCTACTCCCACTAGTTTTCTTAACTTTAGTTTGTTTACAACTCTGACAACTCCAGTAAAGGTCCAAAAGGTAATCTTCGCATTTCTCAGTAAGATTATTTTCGTAGCCGTAGTTCTATCAAGGTATTCTGTACAAACAAAATATCTTTCCAAGTAACTTACAATCACTTTACAATTTCGATTGTTTCATTTGAAGTCATGATCTTTTCTTTTCTGATGACATTTATTTCTATTTCCTTTTGCATTAGTCATTCATAATAATTTATAAAAACACATTGATGAAAATTTTTCACTGGCGTTTATGTTACAACTAAGACGACTTACTATGACTGATTGAACAATAATTTTTTAAAAGTTGTAATTACTAGTAGATATGATAGTTTATGTACACTTTATCTCTCAGTATGCGAAATCTGTTGGAGTTCGAGTTATGGTGGATGCAGAGCAATCATATTTTCAACCTGCTATAAGAAGATTGATTATAGAAATGATGCGTTTATTTAATAAAGACAAGGCTGTAATATTTGGAACCTACCAGTGTTATCTGAAGGTTTGTTTCATGGAATTTATTTGACGTTATTCGAGTAATACGTGTGTCTTATTTTGAATTTTTTTCAATACCAATTATAAATACTTTTAAGGGTAAATAATAGTTTTTTGGTTCACTATTTCAGTGTTTAGATTGTGAACACAGTCAAACTTCAAGTTACTTAATTTTGCTGTTCTTTTCACTCGCCCATTTAAGATAAATGTGGCGTTTACTGTTCGTTAAGAACAAATGCTACTACCTTGATAAATACAAGAAAATTCAAAATATAGCTCCCTATCGTATCGTCGATTTCCGATAAAAAATTACCATAAGACTTCAATATTTCTAATTTTGCACGTTCATCGTGCAAATTAGTATCATGAAGTATACTAACGATTGGTTTATTATTTCGAACATTTATTTAATAAAAGAGATCTTTTTGTTTTGACACGTTATCATTGCCAGGATATGGAAAAGGTATCTCATTTTTTACTACATGATCTTTAACATTGCTCCCGAAAAAAATTCTCAACCGTTGCTGCTACCTTGACGTAGTGGTCGGGTTTGCCTATCATAATGAACTAGTCGAGCTATACTGGCTGGAACAATCCCTCCTCAAGGTCTTACCATGCCAAACAGGTTGATTGAAGAGCGGTAAGACTAAAACTAGCAAACCACAGGTCCGAGGGCGAAGTCGTACTGCTAACTGTACAGTGGTGTGACAACAGTAAGGTGTTTCCTTCACACAACCAGCATACCAGCAATGATGCCTTCCCACAACGAGGGGTGGGGTTAGAAAAGGTCGACCCTAAAAATGCATACCTCGCCTTATCCCATAGATATCCGTCTACGGCGGTAAGGTCCCAATAAGTAGGGAGCTGACACGGAAGAGTATTAGGGAATGATGGTAAATCAGTTGATGAGGTTGTGAATCTTCATCGACTGAGATTGTTGGGCCACGTGTTGCGTATGCCTGAATACCGATTACCACGACGCGCGATGCTTTATATCTTTCTTTCTACGAACTAATTCTTTCTTCCTGTACTATGTTCTTTTATGCAATCTTTCTTTTATATATTACCTTCACTGGACTAACTATTTCTGTGTATTTGATGTTTGTCTTATGCTAATGAGGTATGTCAATTTGGACCGATGAATATATGTGTCCGGTCGTCCGTTGTAGCTGATTGACTGACGAAATAAGATTTTTTGGAAAAATATGAGGTAGTTGCTTAATTACTGAAGTGATTTCACGAACGCTATATCCAAAAAATAAATCATAATTGATGGTCATAATTCAGACGAAGAGATGTGAAGCCGACAGTGTAAGCTTACTGTTCGCCATCTCAAAGTTCTCATTCTTTTGATTGATAGTACAATGATAATTTGTTTTTATTCAAGCGATAACAGTAGCAAAACTCTGGCTTTTTATCGTACTTAATCAGTGTTATCTAGTTTCACACGTTTTTATACTTTCTAAGGAGTAAACCATCATTTATGGTTAGTTCAAATTCTTGAGCAGTATTAATTTGGAGGGTGATATACCTGCTTATATAAAAAGCTGTAATAATTTTCACAAACTCCTTGAGTCCTATATTTCAGCATAAATCAAAGAAACAACACCATGGTTAACCTTAACATATTGTAAACCTATGGAGTGTACGAAAGATCTAGTTTTGTGCTCTGAAAACCCGGAAAATTAAATGTTATCAAACGAATTTATTAAGACATCAGTTAATTTAGATTTTCGAAATAACCAAAAGAGTAGTTTTATTAGCATTGATGTGAATACATTGAATGTTGTCGTATTTCTTGAAACTGAGAATTTAATCTATCTTGTTTTTACTTATAATTCCTGTCGTATTATTATCTTTCTTTTTTTTCAAAACCATTTTCTTTGTCAAATGCTTGAACTGATGGATTTTTTTTTTATCTTACTTACTTACTTACGCCTGTTACTCTCAATGGAGCATAGGCCGCCGACCAGCATTCTCCAACCCACTCTGTCCTGGGCCTTCTTTCCTAGTTCCATCCAATTCTTGTTCATTTTTCTCATGTCTATCTCCATTTCTCGACGTAATATGTTCTTTGGTTTTCCTCTCCTCCTTCGGCCTTCAGGATTCCACGTGAGGGCTTGTCTTGTGACGCAGTTGGGTGCTTTACTCAATGTGTGTCCTATCCACTTCCAACGCCTCTTCCTGATTTCTTCCTCCACTGGGATCTGATTTGTTCTCTCCCACAGTAAGTTGTTGCTAATCGTGTCCGGCCAGCGGATCTGAAGTATTTTGCGTAGACAACTGTTAATAAACACCTGTATCTTCTGGATAATGGCTTTCGTGGTTTTCCAGGTTTCCGCCACATACAGTAAAACCGTCTTGACATTTGTATTGAAAATTCTGACTTTGATGTTGGTTGCCAATTGTTTTGAGTTCCAGATGTTCTTCAGTTGTAAATATGCTGCTCTTGCTTTGCCGATCCGCGCCTTCGCATCTGCATCAGATCCACCGTGTTCATTGATGATACTGCCCAGATATGTAAAGGTTTTTACATTTTACAAATGTTCTCCGTTAGTTGTGATTGAATTGGTGCATGCTGTGTCGTATCGGAGAATCTTGCTTTTCCCTCCGCCTGGAGTCCCTTTCGGGGGGCTACTGCCGGTCCCAAGCCCGGATAAAGGAGGAGGGTTGGGCATGGGGTTAGCGACCCCATCCCGTAGAAAACTAACTCGCTATAAAAACGCTAACCAGAAAAAAATTCTTTTTATCAGATTATTTTATTTACTCAATCAACCATAAATTCTGATTACTAATGTTGTGATCAAACAAATACGGGAGAAGACGACTAGTGTAGCTGCAGCCTCAGCAGCAGTAGGTCTCAATATACACAAAGGGAAAAGCAAGATTCTCCAATACAACACAGCATGCACCAATTCAATCACAATTAACGGAGAAGATTTGGAAGATGTAAAAACCTTTACATATTTGGGCAGCATCATTGATAAGCACGGTGGATCTGATGCAGATGTGAAGAAGCGGATCGGAAAAGCAAGAGCAGCAGATTTACAACTGAAGAACATCTGGAACTCAAAACAATTGACAACCAACATCAAGGTCAGAATTTTCAATACAAATGTCAAGACAGTTCTACTGTATGGAGCGGAAACCTGGAGAACTACGAAAGCCATCATCCAGAAGATACAAGTGTTTATTAACAGTTGTCTACGCAAAATACTTCGGATCCGTTGACCAGGCACTGTCAACAACAACCTACTGTGGGAGAGAACAAATCAGAAGCGCTGGAAGTGGATAGGACACAAATTGAGGAGACCACCCAACTGCGTCACAAGACAAGCCCTCACATGGAATCCTCAAGGTCAAAGGAGAAGAGGAAGACCAAAGAACACATTACGCCGAGAGATGGAGATAGACATGAGAAAAATGAACAAGAATTGGATGGAACTAGGAAAGAAGGCCCAGGACAGAGTGAGTTGGAGAATGCTGGTCGGCGGCCTATGCTCCATTGAGAGTAACAGGCGTAAGTAATGTTGTAATCGCCGAATATATTTTATACGATACTTGGGATGAATAAAGGCGACTGTGAACTAATCACTTCCTTATTGAGTCAATATTCAAGATTATCAGTTGTATATATTTCAATAGATAAGAACCATTAACCAACTGATTGAGTATTTGCATATGTATTAATAAAGCTATTTATAAAATATTATGACGACTATTAAAACTGATAGTTTTGGTTTCATCGACAATATTTGATGAGTTTAGCTTTTTACATTTCATAACTTCGAAAGCTATTTTATACTTTCACAATCCAACTGACATTTTTATTTACAATGTGTTTTATAGTTGAATTCATGAGTCAATTGAAGCTAGACAACTATGGAAAACCTATAAGCACTTAACGGTCGTTTCGTCCTACTATGAGACTCCTCAATAGTGTGCATCCACGATGAACGGTGGTTAAATTTTGTGGATTGGTTGAAGTTAGACATTAACATCATTGGATGCCGGCCAGCTCAATAGTTTAAAGGTTAAGCGTTCGCGTGAGCGACCGACAGATTCTGAGTTCGAACATCTCAAGGCGGGTTCATGAATGCGTACTGCTTAGAGAAGTTACGCAATAGGACGAAACAGCCGTCTAACACTTCCAGGTTCTCCATAATGGTCTAGCTTCAATTGACTCATCAATTTAACTATAGAGATTACATTTATATAAATCTGAATATGTTTTTCTTTTCCAGTTACAATCAAAATATTTTAATAGTTTTAATTCAACAACAAAACAATTTTCAACTTGTTGTTTTAATTAAGTTTATCTAAATTAAATTTATAATGGTCAAATGTTAAAACTTTCAAAAGAAATCCCCCCCCCCCAAAAAAAAACAATTTTTTTTCTATCTAACTACTAATTAATACTGAATTTATGTGTTAAATATTTTTATTTGTTAATTCATCAATTGGCTTTAAAAAAAATCCACAAATGTAAATTAATTTCACTTGGAAACAAACAGATAAAAATATAAAAAAAATGACTGAAAAATTTAATAAGTAAATATAGAACTCTAATTTCTTTTTTTTTTTTAAGAAAAATTTATATTCTCACATAAACTAGAATGCAAACTCTCCTTCCAGCAAAACAAGTTGATGAAGTCTAGTAGGCCTTTTTGGAAAAAAACAGGCCATATCGAAGCATAGCACAACTACCGGGGTTAGAATAGCTGTTTTTGCAATCGGTTGGAGTTTACCCTGTAGGGAGCAACCCCGTACATTCTATGCACCACTTTTGTGACTTTTTATTCAGAAGTAATTGTGCTATGATTCTTTATGGGTATCGGTCGAGTGGATGATTATCCCGATCTCTACCACCCAGGTCATCGATCACGTTAGTCCATGGGACTGAGTCCCACTATTTAGGGGGCAAGACGAGGATATGTATGTCGGATTTTGCTTCTCGGCTGAGACATTTAACCAAATTTATTTTATATTGAAGAGGCGTGAAGCTTTGGAAATGGGTGAACTGACGTGTCCACGTATTCTTTCTAAATATATTTGGTTTTATGGAACCGTCTATCCTTCTAGAAAGTAGGACACCATGGAAAGCTATATTATTCTATTTCTCCTCTTCACCGGTGAATTTAATAGCTGGGTAGATGTTATTGAAAAAGTCCAACATCTCTTGTTTGTCGGTATATTCATCACATACGGTTAGTGTGTCATAATAATATATTTCTGCAAGGGCAGGTACACGCCGTTTTTACAGGCATGATCTAGAAATTACAACATTTATTAGCTCACAGTATGTATCCCAAGTAAGGTTGTTAAATAACTATAATCTATAAACGTGAATATTAGTTCGTTCATGCAGATGTCTTGGAGCGTTAGTGAATAGGTATATGTTTTAGTATTACACTGAGTAGTTTTCAAAGTATTTTCATGTGTGATTCGGGTTTTGCCTTCCAGAGTACAAACAATAGTCAATTATTTTATCTACAATGTAAAACGTTATAAATCTAATTTAAATTAAAAATAAATGATGACTTTTTGCCTCCAAATGCCCTGATACGGCCAAGATTGGGGAGAGTTCGCTCTTCCTCTCAAAATGCTCTCACCTGGCCACGAGTATACAGCCTCTGCCAGGGAAGTCCTACTCACTGCCTTCTCGCACCACGGGTGTTGTTTATGAAAATGAGAGGACAAAAAGCGAATTTCCGGCACTTTAACCGGATCTCAAACTAATGGTGCACATCGGCTCCAGTATCCTGAGGGGACATATGGTGTATAAACCCGTTGTTGGTAACCGGCTATCATGGGACTGCATCTCCTTACGATGCTCCACTGCCTTGTGGAATAGACGTCCAGGTCAAAAGTTCGGGGTGTGGCCCCCCAAGAAAACCACCTTGTTCGTTTTGGACATTTGGGCAGTATCACAGCCCTCACATATATCAAATGAGATCTGTGTGGCGCATATGTATTTGTTGCCTCCTTGTACCAATATCTATGTGTTAAAATAAATAAATAAATAATAAATTTGGAATTTGAAGATAATGAAGTAAATTATCTAAATATTTTATGAAATTATCCTTGTTTATTATATTAATGAATAAACAAAAATAAAAATTAAGGTCATCAAACAATCGACAGTTATTCACTTTCACTCTTCATAACATCTCTTTCACTCTCCATGTATGTATAATTGTACAAGTTATGGATATTGTATTATATTTCATATAAAAGAATAAAATAATGACTTGTCTGTTTAAGGATTTCATTCCTTTTCTTTTTTTAATATTCTTGATAGGAAACACTTGAATCACTTATTCAAGATTTAAATCATGCTGCTACAGAAAACTTTTATTTCGGTGCAAAGTTAGTCAGAGGAGCTTATATGGATCAGGTAAATGTGTATCAGTTTTTATTTTTATTTTTTTTTCAACTACTTTTTCTACATGTCACTATTATTGTATTTGTACTAAATTGAGTGGGTGAATAACTAGTACAATTGATATATTGGTTTATGATTACTATTGTTTGATATTTAGTCAACAATTCAAAGGGTTTCAAATCTCGTTTTTATTTACTTCACTGTAAACAACTGGTTGACATTGCTAACATTCAAACCCAAATTGTAACTTAAAACTAATTATAGTAATTCGTTCCTGATAATTAAATTTGTAATTATTACTTCTATGTCAGATATTTACCACATCTCATTACATTCAAATGAAACTGGTTTTATAACATGTTTAGTCATATTTAAGACTGTTTTACAAATATCGATCTCTCTTTCAATATTAATGTTCTTGTTCTTTTACTTTTAATTGCAAAGTGGAAAAGTTTGTGATAGATCTAGTTAAACAGGTGACTGTATATTATATGGTGTACATTGTACTTTTAAATTATCTTTTTATGTATACATATCAGTGTATTCTATTTTACTTTCAGCATCACTGGAACCTATTTTCTATCAGGTGTTTGCTATAATTAAAAAAGCAAACAAACTGTAGGGTACACTATTTCTTTTATAATCAACTATTCATGCTCTTCTAATGGTTAAAGTATCATGTAAATATTTGAATGAATAGTTAACCAAATTTAATTTAAACGCTTCTAATGACTCGAAATGCTCTCACATGGCCACGCGTATACAGCCTCTGCCAGGGAAGTCCTACTCACTGCCTTCTCGCACCACGGGTGTTGTTTACGAAAATGAGAGGACAAAAGCGAATGGTGCACATGGGCTCCAGTATCCTGCGGGAACAAATGGCGTATGAACCAATTGTTGGTCACCGGCTGCCATGGGACTGCATCTCCTTACGATGCTCCACTGCCTTGTGGATAAGACCTTTAGGTCGAAGGCTCGGGGTGTGGCTCCTAAGAAAACCACCTGCTTCGGTTTGGGCATTTGGGCAATATCAAAACCCTCACATATATCAAATGAGATCTGTGTGGCGCATATATATTTGGTGCCTCCTTGTACCAATATCTATTTGTTAAAATAAATAAATAAATTTTTCACAGACTAGTTCCAGCTAGAGTTCTATTGTTAGCCAAAATGTACCAGACATGTGTTTCATTCTAGTATGGAACTCATCAGTAAGGTGCACTTAACCCACGATCACTGGGTCTCATTTAGTAACTATTTGAAATGGTTAAATCGACATTTGTAGTTGTTATTACAATTAAAAGACAAGTATTTACTGTTAAAAGCTTAGTGACGTTTTCGGTTCAGTTTATTTAATACGTTTGAGTTATCTCATATTGTTATAAACGATTTTCTCTTCCCAACCTGTTAACTATATGTTGTTCATAGTTTTATAAATAAGCATTATCTATCAGAATACACTCACATTAGAATGAATCTCCCCAAAAGGTCATAAGCAGATCATAGACTGAAATTGGGGTAAAATAAAACTTGTTGAATAACTGCTAGCCATTAATATAGCGCAGAACGCCTTGATGACAAGTGGACCTTCCTCTTAGAACCGTCAAGATTTGATTAATATTCTTACCAATGCTCACCGAAATATTGATTCACACTTAGTTTGAGTGAAAAAGTTTTCTTAATATGTTTCTTTGGAATCTACAATAAAAAATCTCATGTTACAGGCAAAAATAAAATTTATGTATCAGAAAACCATTAGATATACTGAATACAAGAAAACTGAAGCTCCATGTGACACCTTATTTATCAAAAACCAAATAAAAGTTTGCAGGATCGTTAATCGGATATGGCAACTTGAACGGATTTACATACACACTAGGTTATACGTTGCGTTTGACTGATTGATCGATAGCTTATACATATTTATAGGCAACCAGACTGGTGGGAACAAGTGAAAGGTGATTTTGGCCAGATTAGTGTTGCCTATTCATCATTTAAGTCCCCCATACACATGTACACACTTTTATCTCTCTTATCGCATGGTCTTGAGATAACATGTGATTTGTTTGGCTTTGGATAACTAGCCCTTTACTTTCTATTACATTTTTCTTAAACAAAGTAGGCCAACCATATGTAGAACTTGAAAGATATAGCTGTGTCCTTCTACAAGATGTTATCGCCCATCATGCAACATTTGTTCTTAGTGTTCAACTGTCATCAACAAGATAAATATTACCATAACCTGCATTTAGCTAAGCAAAAGTAAGCTCACAATTACTCCAGCATGTTATTGCCCCGAACACTTAACTCAAATCCCGAATATGAAAAAAAGCTTCCTAGCCTTTCAGAAAAAAAGAACCACTGTATTATATTTAGTTATTCTTTTCAATGATTATTCATTATATTTGAAATAATCGTCAATTAAAACAAATTTGGCGCTGAACAAATTTCAGCATTGAATAAATACACCATAGAAATAATCAGAATGCAAAAGAAATAACATATTGAATTAATCAATAAATTTTACTCATAATCACTTATTATAAGATACATCTGAAATTCTATAAAAAAGACAATCTAAATAACCTGTAATAATGAATATATATATATTGGATAGATAACTATTAAAATGATATCATTATTTGTATTTTAATTGGTTAGAATTTACATTTTTATTAGAACTATGAAAATGTTAAACAGTTTAATTGAATATGTACATACAACTACAAATAAGTCAGTCAGTCAATCAGGGAGGTTGATTATGAATACAGTGATCTTAAGTGCTGTTAGAGGTATGAGGACGGTTATCACTTCCCGGTTGCTCACACTGTGGTAGGGTTCTTCTATCGATCTTTGAAAAGGAAATAGGGTTAGAGGTGGTCTTAGTGACCTGAGAGCGTGACCATAGTGCCCAAGAGACAATTGCCTGAGGCCGGTCACACCCGGCCATTTTGTGAGTAATTTTCGTGTCAGCTCCCTACTTGTTGAAACCTTACCAACATAGACGGACATCCATGGGATAAGGCGAGGTATGCATTTTTAGGGTCGACCTTTTCTAACCCCACCCCTCGTTGTGGGAAGGCATCATTGCTGGTATGCTGGTTGTGTGAAGGAAACACCTTACTGCTGTTACCCCTCTGTACAGTTAGCAGTACGACTTCGCCCTCGGACCTATGGTTTGCTAGTTTTAGTCTTATCGCCCTTCAACCGACCTATCTTGCATGGTAAGACCTTGAGGAGCGATTGTTCCAGTCAAGGTAGCAACAACGGTCGGGATACAAATAAGTGGTATTTTTTTTAGAATAAAAGGATATCTACGTTGCTTTATTCAATGTTTAGGCAATAAATATATTTTCGAGTGAGTTGTAAGCCAGGGTTTAGCTCTAGATCATTTATTATTATTCTTCAGGGAGAAAATTTTACTTGATTTCTAGTTTTCATTTCTCGTGTCACCTTCATTCAATGTATCAAAGCAATAGTACAGAAAACTAGGAAGTCTCGTTAGTAGAAGCAGACGATTAATTAGTCAAATAACGAATGAGGTATTTATTTCAACTTATTAAGCTTAACTAATTTGCCATACATGAGAGAGGTCTCAACTGATCACTCTGATTGTTTGAAATTACGCGGACTAACAAAATCATTATGTAGTATAATTACGACCAAGAAAAGGCTTTTTGTTGTATCCCGACGAAAACAATAAATAATAACTTTTGGGATCTATTTATGGACTAATACTATATATATATATAAGTAACTAGATTATGTATATTAATATTCCTCTTATTATAAACTTTGTTTTGACCTATAGACTATTATTATAAGGTTTACTATTCCTAAGTTATGCCCCGTTTATTAATTACATTCTTCCTCAATCACAGTCACTTTTTGGCTTGATCTTGTACAAATGTTATTTCCTATGTTGTGGTACGATGTGGTCTGTTTGGTTTGTATATAAACCTAGTATGTTTAAAATATACGGTTCATATCTCGGAGGTTGAGATTGGTGTTCTGGACTTGACAGGCAAGGAAGAGAACCAATCAGGGCGCCAGGCTGTTCGTTCAGGTGTAGGCGTCATTTGTTAGTTGTATCTAAATTTGGCAATCGTATAAGCTAAGAACATAACACTTTTGTTCCCTTACACTTTGCAACTTCTCTCCTTGAATAATTCATTTTTTAGGATCATTATGCTTACAGTAGGCACAGGCACCTTAGGGTTTTTAACTAACATGAAGTCGTTTATCCATGTGTTCCTTTTTCATAATAACTTTAAAGATGCTTTATAATTCTTGTTGTAGGAGCGTGCACGTGCCAAAGAGTTAGGATACGAAGATCCAATCTGTTCAGATTTCAACGCTACAACAGCCATGTATGAATCATGCCTAGAGGAGGTGTTTAAAGCTATTAAAAAACGCAAAAGCGGTCAAGTTAGTGTTATGATAGCCAGTCATAATGAAGATACCGTTCGATATGCTTTAAAAAAGTTAGTAGAATCTATTAGCTTAGTTTATCCCGTGTCTAATTTTTTTTTTACTTTTCGATTTACTTCTTGTTGCTTTCAAACAAAATAATCACTTCAATATGTAGCAAGAATTAATGATAGTCTTAGGAAGTAGAAGAAATCTAATCAACAGACAAACAATGTAATCGGAGTATAATTTATTCACAACTAGCAAATGATAGATTTAATAGTACAAATCTATCAATACTGAGGTCATTCAGTTATGATGTAAACAACCAATCATAGGAGAGGTCATAAATACAATGAAAACAACTATTTTAGTGGGATATCATTGATTTAATACAGTAAATAGACACATTATTTGTGAGTAGAAGGAGGAAATAATGAACAGTTATTCAGAGTTAAGTCATTTTGGGAATGTTTTTTTCTGAATTTATAGGTTGTAAAGGTCATGTATATTGCTTAGCTTCATATCAGATCGTAGGTTAACAATGTCTCATAATTTCCGAAACAAGAAGTAAAGATTTGGAGATGAAATATGAGTATGAATCAACGAAGCCTATCGTCCACAACCATACTAATTAGTGGTATTTCCCACTGTTTACCCTATTCCAGCCATAAAGGATGGTGAAATCTGGAAAAATCGACTTGCTTATCTGGATAGTGTTTTTATTAACACAAGTGGCAAATATGCCGGAGGGAGATATATGTTTTCAGTGGGTAACTGTATGTTAAACCCAAAAAAACTAAGTTGTTAGAATTTGCTATTGTTTGCTGAGTAGGATGGATTCCCAGTTCTAGATTTTTTTTCAAGTTCGCATTACATGCACACCAAAAATACATAGGTCAAATTAGTCTATGCACTCCACAGCATACATGTTACCACAAATGCCGTGATTATATGATTAAGATGGTCTCCACACTCATTTCCGATATTTACCACTTGTTTGTATTAAAATTCCAGTTGATTTGGAGCAAGTACACATTACATGTGCACCTGCAATACACAAGTCAAAGGATATATGTACTGAAAAGCGTACATTTTTTGCACGAGTATACAATACATGCACATCTGAAACAAGCCAAATCTATATATGCTTCCTACAACATATATATAGGTATAAATTTTGAGCACCTATCCATCTGTCGCAAGTTAAACATGAGTTTGGTTCAGAAATCCTATCGATTAGTTAATGTAATGGGAATAAAAGAAGACATTATTCAGGTCAATATTTTTTTGGATCAATTTATTATGAACTTCGTTTAATATGACAAGTTTAAACTTTCGTTTTCACTCTGTATCATGGGGATTATTTTGACTTCCGTTCCCCAATATAAGCAGTAGAATGGAATAGCTGTAGTAACTCCCAGTTGTCAAGTAAAAGCAGTAAGACCGCGGACCCAACAAAGTTCACCTGAATCTAACAGCAATGACTCTCGATATATGACACTTAGAGATCCGGCTACAATGGTAGTGAAATAGGCTGTTTTTCACTGACCGTTCATTTCAGTTCATTGAACACAATCCTACCATTACCCGACCATTGCGAGAACGTATAGGTTGAATTTCGCTTTAGATACCCTTGCTTAATATTTTTCTTCAAATATGAAGTGCTATAAAGAAATAAGCATGCAATTTATATTGTTAATAGATATCGGTGCGATAAGGCATAACTTTAGTAATATTGACTTTTCAAAATAAGGTGTATATAGTGTTTAACCTTTATGTGGTGTTCAAAAGTCAAATGAGTTCTTAATTAATGTCTTAACAGTTGTAGTATTGTTTAAGGTGTTCAGTGTAAGTTATAACATCCTAAACACATCAGATAAATGAAGACAATTCAATCAACTTTAATTAAGTCGTATTTGTTAATGGTAAATACCTGATTGAAGTCGTGATCAGTGGTCGAGGATTTTATGTTACGTGACTATGAATTGGTTACTGTGAAGCAAATGCAAGACTTATTATCTTCATTTAGACCTTGGATTTTAATGTTTCTTTATGCGCTCATCACTAGAATTTGTATTTTTTTAATGAGTGGGAAAATAAAACAACATTGTGTTTTTCATGATGCTTCGCTATGTAATGCTAATTGTTTTATCAAAAGTTATATATAAGAACCCAATCAAATTTCTTTCGTATGAACCAATTTTATGTTGTCAAGTGAATGAAATAATTAAAATAACAAACAGGTATATCAGAAGGGGGTTTTTTGTGGATATTATAGTAATTTTAATAGTTGAGATCATAAGTCAATTGAAGCTAGACCAGCATGGAAAACCTGGAAGTACTAGGAGGTCGTTTCTTCCTTTTGTGGAATATACCGTTTGATTTGAACAATGTATGAATTTTAAAAAAAAAATACAATTATATTAACAATGTTAGGTTAGATTAAGTGATGAGAGTGTTAGAGCATTCATTCTTATTCAAATGATTTGACTTCAATTTTATGTGAAGTATTACTGTTATAAGATGTTCTTTGTGAGTTTCGAGATTTCTTTAAACGACTTCATTACTATAAATATCAATCTTGCAGCCTGATATTAAAGCGAGTAATGTTATACCCAGAGATTATTTTTAAAGTTCTGTTGGATTCCTCACTCGTCAAACAGAACAGTTCTATGATGTCACTTTTTTTCTTATCTTAATTTTTCAAGAAGTTTGTCCAATTTATACTCCGTCACAGTCTGAACATTTTATTTCGTATATAAGATTAGATGATGAATCCTTTGTGGTCTTGAAGAATACCGTGATATTACAAGTGTTAAGTATTCTGACTTGGTCTGATGTGTATAGTCTGTATAAAACAACAATTATTGTAGTTGATGTTTTCGGAGTGGTTTTTTTCGAAAAAGTTTCCTATTTTTTCCTATTCTTCGGACAGGTTTTTTTGGATAGTAATTTATTCTAAGAATTTTGTTTCTGTTCCCTAATTCCTCTTTCTGTCATTTTCGTTTGTTATCAACTTGTCTGTCTTTCATAAAATACCAGAACCAACTGATACCTTTACACTTGTAATGACCTCGAGCTTCAAATACAGCACACTTCTCCTGGTACCGTTCTCCGTAAAAGACTTTCGTTGGCAACGATCACTTCCTGTTTCGCCAATTCTTCCATCCTACAATCGCTCGTCAGCCGATCAGCCCCACGAACCAAACTGCCACTTATCGAAAGTGTAAACTCTTTCTAGCGGGGGGCTGCTGTAGTGACCTACTTTTATCAAGAGAACGCGATTGGTTTAATGAAAACAATTATTATTATAACCAATTGTAGTAGTGATTGTTTTACTGTGCTCGTTTGTTTAACTGTGCTAATGACAGCCATACTGTTCTTCCATTAGTCTCCATTACATTCTACGCGGTTTGTGACTCTGTACGCACGTACTCCTTCCTGTCGATTCCACTTGTACCCATTTTGGCACGATCTTGGTATTCGTTCGATACCACGAGGTCGCCAACGAATAAACTTGGTTACAACCTATTTTCGCCTTCTGATTTGTTTGGTACGCACTCAACTTGTAGTGTTGTTCATAGTTAACTACGACTCGACGCCACGCTACACACTAATAGGATATGAGAATCTTTGGTTATCATTTATTATCAGTAGTATTTTAAAAGACGATAATTCTTGAAGCGAATTTGTGAATCTAGCGATCCATTATTATTATTGTCGGGTAATCTAAAGATCATTTACTTTCCTAATAACTTCTCTTTTATTATCATTCTAAGCATTTTAGTTCTTTATTCACCGTTTGTTGAATGATTGAATAGATGAATCTTGAAATCGGCTGTAGCGTAATAACCAAAACTCAATGCTTGAAATGAAATGGTGTTGTTCTTTTTTTTGTTTTGTTCTTGTTTTAAATAACCCACAAATAGTTAGAGATATTATAATCAGAGGGGGGGGGGTGGAATTTTACCCAGGGAATTCATGCTTTCCATATAGAAACTGATGAATGTTCAATAAAATAAAAAGGTATTAACATTTTCATAGGTCACTATCTAAATACATCAATTTGTTAGAATTTACATTATTTATTTATTTTTTTTTTACATAGAATGCATGAATATAATGTATCACGTGAAGATCGACTTATTTGTTTTGGTCAATTGCTTGGAATGTGTGATCAAATTAGTTTTACATTAAGTAAGTTAATCATTGTATAAGACTTCAACAAGTTATGTACAACAAATGAATTTCATCTTTTTATTTCAATGTTAAATCTGTTCAATGAATTCTGAATGTATGTATGTATGTGGGGGGGGTAACATCTATATGCTGATGATTTGTCCACGTCTGGTACATTTGATTGATTTCTGTAACGAGGCTTCTCAGAGTGAATCAATATAAGGTACAACCAAAATAGATCAAAAGAATACTTTCCTAAATTTTAAGTAGTATTTTCTAAATACATGTTGATTATTGCATTCATTTTTAAACCAAATCAAATCAATTGTATCTGTTCTGAGTTCAATCCCTGATATGATCTTGGTTGTGTACTGCTAAGCAGTTCTATACTAAGATGAAACAATTATCTTATGCTTCAAAATTTTTAATGATTGACCAAATGAAGTTAGTTTGTCATGAAAACGATTTGTTGTATAGAATCATTTTGCTGCATACTTTTATTATTCCAATGGGAGTGATGGCTTTTTTTTCTCAATATATCTTTGATATTACTTTTTTCGAAATTATATTCTTTTTTAAAACATTAAAGGTCAAGCTGGCTACTCTGTATACAAATATGTTCCATATGGTCCTGTTGAAGAAGTTTTACCATATCTATCTAGACGTGCATTAGAAAATGGTTCCGTGCTAAATTGTACACTTAGAGAACGTCAGCTTTTATGGTCTGAATTGAAAAGGCGTTTATCGAATGGGCAATTCATTTATAAACCATAGATTAACTTATAAACAGGTGTGTGTGTGTGTGTGTAAAAGTTAGTTTTGATTTTGGTCATTCTACTTGACTTCATCTATTCTTTTCTTGCTTATTTCCTTGATCTATCACATCTTCCTATTTATAATTGCGTGTTCAAATGTATGTATTCGATTGTGTAGTTAGTGTATATTGTATCTTGCACACTTATATTATTGTATAAAACAAAAACAAATTTCTACTACTGTTAATTTTCTTCTTTCTGTGAATTCTTTCTATTGTTTTCACAAATTTCGTACTTTCCAACCAATATCCTTGGTGTATATCTGTCTTACATTGAAGTAATCAACTTCAATGATCTCAAAGCTTCTATCAAATAATAAATATGTTGTAACTAACTTTATTATACTGGCAAGTCAATCGGAATCAAGATATAATTTTTTAGTTTTTACTCAAAATCAAAAGACAAGTCATGACAACAATATCTTTACGAATAAATTTACAGAATAAACATTTATTTAGATATAAAATCGCTTTGTTTGGCATCATACTGTAAAAAGAATATGAAACGGAAGCGAAATCTTCTAATTGATTCCAAGCTGTTCATTGTATTCAGTGCTTTTCCTCAAATCTGGAGGTCTTCATAATCCAGTTGACCACCAGAAGATGGGAGTAAGCAGTTTTTTTCTGAATCTGGTTTTCACTTGGAATGCATCTGTCAGCTGTTTTCCAGGCACGGCACTGCACTGTAGTCCGTCATATGAATGCCGTATCATATTGACGATCTTCCCAGCTACCCATTCTATAATATCGAAGACGGTTCTTCTATCAACACTGTGAAACGCTTCATCATAGTCAAGAAGTTTGATGTGCACTGTCGAGTTCTATTCAATTGAGTGTTCAACAATGAGTTGTAATGTCGCGATTCGGTCTGTGCACGAACGATCCTTGCGGAATCCAGCCTGTTGATCTCGAAGTTGGGTGTCTACCGAATCTATCATCCTGTCCAACAACATTCTATTGAAGACGTTTCCTATTGGTGTAATGCCTCTGTAGTTTTCACATTTGCTTAGATCTCTTTCCTTTGGTATCTTGATGAGATATCATTCTTTCCAATCTGTCGGCACTTGTTCTTCCTCCCAAATCTTCCTGAATAGAATGTGGATCATGTTTGTAGTTGCTCCTATTTGTGACTTGAGTGCTTCGGTTGGAATATTGTTAGGTCTATCTGTTTTTCCACTCTTGATTTGTCTGATAGCTATCCTGGTTTCTTCGAACGTTGGTTGAGTAGCATTGTTGTGATTATCTGTTGGTGCTGCTTCGGTGTTTGGTAGGTTCAGTGGATCTGGCCTATTCAAGAGTTCCTCGAAGCATTCTACCCACCTGTTCCTCTGTTCTTGAATTTCAGTGATCGTCTCGTTTTCTTTGTCCTTGATCGCTCTCCCGGGTTTACTGTATTACTATGCTAGATTCTTCGTCGTGTCTTACAGCTGTTTCATATTTCCTCCCGTTGTACCTTTCTTGCTGTTGATGCTAGGTCTTCCACATATTACTGCTTGTCGGCTCTAATGATCCTACTCACTTGCTTGTTCGTCTCTGTGTATTCAGCTTGTGCCTCCACTTTCTCTGCTCTTGATCGACTGTCGTCAGTTGCTGTCCTCTTGTTCTTCGTGTATTGAAACATTAATCTTGCTTGTTGCGGCTCAGAACCTCTTTACATGTTAAAGTTAGTGCTTCTGTGATCCCTTTCCGATTGTTCTTCACTGTTGTTTCCTGTTCTTTCAGTAGATTCTGTAAAGCTCGTAACCTGTTGCTGGAACTACGTCGAATTGATTGGGTTTGTGAGGAAGGCTATATTCAACTTATGTATGGCTGTTTCCCCAGTTGTCCATCGCTTCATTGGCTTCAGTTTTATGTTGGCAACCACCAACTAGTGATAATCTTTGGCTATGTCAGCTCCTCTCCTTGTTCTCACGTCTCCCTTCTGACCCCCCAACTTTCTTAGTGATGCACATATGATCGTTGTGGTTTTGTGTAGAGTCGTCCGGTGAAACCGGAGTAGCTTTGTGTATGCGATTGTGCCGCCTATACCCATTTTGTTGAGTGGGAATTTCTCACCATTCCTTTTCTTTGTCCAAGTCAGTCCCTGTTCACGCATGGTATTTTAGTTGCCGGTTTTTTTTGACGCCAATTAGATCTAACATTGTTGTTGACGGGTTCGTCGCTTTTATGTTCCGAGATATGATTCCAGTTAGGTCGTTTGATTGATTGTTACTGAAATATTCGTATCGTCAATTCTCGTATTAAATGACGGAATTAAGTATATCGTATATGATGATGGACTCTTGAATACAAATATTTTCTGTATTCATTGATCTGAACTGACAATCAGAGGAACGATTTAAAGAGAAATGAGCGGAGCGAAATTATGTGCTTTGGATTGAGCTTGTGAGCCAACTCAGATTAATTAAGCGTTAATAGTTATTGACGGTCTGATAGAAAGACGTTACAGAGTTTAATGAATAAGATAAGAAGTGCACATATATGCGCTAGTATTAAAATAGGTTGATAGGCAGTTGACTAACAAGGTAAGCGGATAAATTTGTTTGTCCGGAAGCTAGAATGAGCTATGTAGGCCTAACATATGAACCGACACAACAATATCCTCACGTAAGTTGCGATCCATCCCGAGTTTGGCGTTTAGTTCTTTCATCAAGATTGTCAGGTTATTTCCTGGGCACTTTTATGTCTTCACTGTTATCATTGATGGGTGCATAACATTGATTGTGATTCCTTCCTTATTTGTACTGAATGAACGGCGGCCTGCTTGAATATCTGGGCTACCTGTTTCTGCCATCTAGTTATTTCAACAAGTTATCTGTTTTTCATTTTGTTTTAACGTCTCATTATGTCCATTAATCGCATAACATATACAGGCGCGTTTATGAAAATCCTACTACGTTTCGCTGCACAAGTTACAAAAAACTACAATAGAAGACATCGTGGTGGTTGGCAATATTCGTTGAAGAAAATGAACATTAATTGTATGTCGATTCATGAATTGCTCAATTCTAACTGCCGATCATTAATTAACAAGATAGTCTATCTTCAATTCCTACTAAGTCAAAATATGTATCGTAATTGCGGTGTCATCACAATTAGAGAATCTTGGTTAAACGATTTACAGCACGACTGTCTAGTATCCTACATGATTTCAAAATTTATCGTCAGGATCGATCAAACGATAAAAAGAGGTGTGGCGGCGGTGTAACTACTTTTGTAAACGTGAACTAGTGTCGATCAACATTTGAGTGTTTCAAGTTTTCAAATGACTTTATCGTCTGTCTAACTCTAAGATGCCGTCCAAAACATCTGAATAAATACAAATATGTTTATGTTACCAATATCTATGTGACCCCAGACTGCAAATCATCTGCGCTATCTGTATTCGCTGATGAATTCACTGAATTCGCCGTTACTGCCTTCAGTGATTCACTTTCAGTTGTATGTGGTGATTTCAATTCATGTGACTGCAGCTTCCTTACATCGCTAGGTCACAAAAATGTAGTAGATTTTCCTACTCAGTTGGATGCTCATTTAGACTTCGTTTTCATCAATGATGTAGGTATATATGTGACTCGTAAACGTGCCCCATTGTCTAGCTCAGATCACTGTATAATTCATGTTTTACCTAAAGTATATGGAAAGCATGGGAAGAGTAAACTCTTAAATCAAACTAAGAAAGTCAAATATAGGAATTATTCAGAAGAAAATATCCGAAATCTGAAAAACAGGTTTCATACGACTAACTGGGAATTATTTACAGATGACTCACTGGAAATCACTTCTGATGCTATCACTTGTTACCTTAAATTCTGTTTTGATATTTGTTGTCCCATTGAAACTATTTTTGTAAGTTTTGATCGACTTACATCCTCACAACTAAAACGACCACGGAGGGTAAAAGAAAGAATGTACAAGAAGAAAAACTCTAGTGAAGTTCGTAAGCTAAGTGGTCTGACAAACCTCGAGATTAGTCGTCTCAACACTATGTTCACTCAAAAACTCTTGTCTTGTAAAAATTCTTCAAGTATGTGAAAACTCTTTACAGAACTTACAGGTGACAAACAGATTAGGACCGATAACCAGTCGGATGTTTATGACTTAAATAAGTCTTTTGTACGTCAGCCATCTGATGTGATGCTCTCTTTATTCACGGGTTTAAAAAATAGCTGTGTTCCTAGTTTCACCGAAACTGATGTCCGAAAATGTCACTAAATTCATCCCGATGTTTGGGACCTGATAGTCTCCCAAACCTCCTTTTTAAAAAGTGTGCTGACTTCCTATGCTGTCCATTCACCACTATCTTTAATAGATCCTTCTCTTCTAATTTCATACCGAAAATGTGGAGAAAGATGAAGATAATCCCATACCTAAGAAAGCATCTGGTGATAAGAATGTGAAATTCAGACCCATTTCAATAACTTCACCCTTCCTCAAAACAATGTAAAAATTATTTACACTATCACTTCAGCCTGCGATAAAAGAGCACATTGACCAGTATCAGTTTGCTTACAGATGCAAAAGAAGCACCTTAGATGCTGTTGCTTTTCTGCATCATAATATAGTGTTCAACCTAGCAAAGAGTAAGAAGTATGTTCGATGCGCTTTCCTGGACTATACTTCAGCTTTTGATTCTATATCAAGACAACGTTTACTTAACAAGTTAGTCAGCGTCAACACTGACAGCTGGATAACCAACTGGCTATGTTCCTACCCCTCTGGAAGGGAACAGTACACGGTGTTTGGAGGAAGTGTTCAGAGTCTCTAGTGTCTTATGAAGGTGTACCACAAGGAACTGTTCTTTCACCTCTTCTTTTCTCTTTTTTCCTGCATGACCTGCCATCTTCCACAGCAAACACCTTCGTGAAATATGCAGATGATCTCACTGTTTGTATGCCTATCTCTTCCTCTTTACATCCTTTAGAAATGAGTGAGTTTTTGTTTCGTATTGATTGTTGGTCTGTTATTAATGGTCTCATACTTAATCCGTCTAAATGTCAAGCTGTTAACTTTAGCATGAGACATGAACGGCATTTAAACACCATTTTGAGATCCCATGATGCTTGTGCCATTGGCGACTCATTGATAAACACAGTGTCGACGATCAATTATCTTGGTGTTACCTTTTCCTCTGATCTCTCTTGGTCTTCTCACGTTTCTTCTCAGTATCTCAATTTCCAGAAACCTCGCCACCTTTCACGAAGGCAACCAGTTTATTGAAGTTGGTTTCCTTGGCGTCCATCATGGTCTTATGGACAGCTTCTGATCACTTATCAATTCAGTGGCACAACTATTCCTAAACTAGTTGCGAAGTTGACATTGTACACATATCCCGTTTGTTTCAGCGTTGTATACATATCACAGAGCTCAAACCCAAATTTAGTCAGTTCATCTGCCTGACATCCAACAGCTTTATGGTCGAGTAAATAGATATTACTTTCCGA